TGTGTGTGTGTGTGTGTGTGTGTGTGTGTGTGTGTGTGTGTGTTTTAGGAGAGGGGAAATGCTTAATGCACTGTAGGTGTTATTTGACCCGTGTGTTGGACTCTGCTAGTATGCCCTACCGACTAAAACCTTAACCTCATCATCATTGGCCGTACGTTGCCCCTACGGGACCGCCGCTAAGTATTACTTCGCGGGGGCGGCTTCAGCTGTTTAGTTTTTTTACATTTTTGGCTTTTCTTAGCTTTAATGCTTGTTACGGGGAACCGTTGTTGCTGGTATCCTCGTCTTTCTGCGCTCCTGCTCTTCTTCTCGGAGTCTCTTCATAACGACTGCGGCGAAATTGCTGACCGCAGACCAGTTTTTCTCCGTTGTCAACATCAGTTCCACGAGGGTCTCTGGCTCAGGTGTTGATCCCAATGCGTGCTCCAGTTCCTTTCTCTCGGAGAAAACGTCGCCGTACGATATAGACGGATTTGTTTTGAATTTGACGAAGATTGGTGAAAGGGTTACTGGTTTCTGCTTATTTTATATGTGATCTGAAATCACGTGTCCTATTTTTTTTATAACTTAAATTTTTTATTACATACGTTGCACGTTGCTTCGCTTTTGGCTTTATTTACTTTAAACCAGTTCGATGTTTCTGATTTATCTGTTATAACGATTGTTACAATTACTTCCGTCTTCTCGACGTCTAGATTGTAGACGGTTAAATACTAAGCGCGGTTCAGAAATCGCGTTAACAAGCGTTTGAAAAACTGCTCAGCAAAACGAAGAGAGGGATGGTTTATTTACTTTATTTATTACTTAAACTTTTTTTTAATGTATGTAAATGTGGATATACGTATAATTTTTTGCCCAACATATCATATCGTACGGCTCTATCTTCTTTTTTTGACTACTAAATTTAAACTTATTTTTAAGTTAAAACACACGCAGCGCGTATGACAATTAAAAATGTTGAAGTTAGATATATGGTAAAAATTAAAAATCAGTTAAGTCTATGAAACGCTCTCATATGAAATGATATTTCTTAACTCGTACATAGTAATAATATATATAGTAATAATATAGTAATAATATAGTAATAACATCATATAGTAATAATATCAGTAATCAGTAATCAGTCACAAAATATTAAAAATAGTTAAGAGTAACTTTAGAAATTAATAATAACAAACAGCTTAATAATAATCAGCTTACTTAAAGCTAAAAATAAAGAGAGATGTTCAGAGCAAGAGACATTACACGAATTATTCGAGATTCACTAATCATATGCTTCTTGTTTCATAGATTCCACAACCACTCGAAACTATCTTCTTACATTTCGTTTTACAAGTACAATAATAGAAAAATAAACTGACAGCAAGAGGTACGTCAAACAAGATTTAAATGTAATGATGTAAACATGTTTATCAGTTGATTGATAGTTCTGTTTTTATAGTAACAATCTTATAACAATAACAATAAAGTTATAAGATAACATTTATGTTCATTAATGTAAAAGAAATCTTTGGTTTAGCTTTGCGATTAATGTAATACAAATTGAATTAAAATGTAAAAAATTAATGTACATCTCTAATACGAAAAAAATAACATAATCCGCGCGTAGAATATTATGTTAATTTAATATGCATTTTAACATTTGTACACATTTATGTACAACCGAATCTTTTTAAAGCGAAGGATTACAGTTATTGTCAAAATTTCTGTGTTATATCTCTCTATCAAATTTAATTTGTACCAAGTATAATTTAAACGTATTCTCTTTACATTACAACACTTTTGAAATCAACATGACAACTTTTTGCAAAGTTTTATATATTCTGTTGAAAGATACATACAGCGTACTATTTTATAAGATGTCTTAGAATATTCGTAAATGTCTTTTCTACTGAATACTTATTAAGACATGCAGTAATGATATAAAATGTTATCTGCAATAAAAGTGTAAACATGTGTCACTATATATTACAATCCATTAATTTTGCATAAATTTTGAAAATAGTTCCGCTGATTCTGAATTTCAGAGAATCGTCCATCTATTCTTAGTTTAACTGTCAATAATGTCACATTAATATAATTTACAATTGTGTTCAGAGATTATGTGCCTGAGATAAGTCATTCAAGTGCCGACACAATTTACAATTCATCGCGGTAGTTGATTTTGGCGGTTTCCTTGCAATTGGGATCACCGAAAAGACATCCCCATTTTACAGCTTCTCGCCTTAAGCATTTGATAAAGTCATTAGGTTTCTCATTAGGTTTGTCGGTATATTTATATTCTTAAGGAGCTCATGCAAGATATTCCGCACATGTGTCTAAAAATCACAAAATAATTAATTTGTAAAAATTTCTAATATCCGAGTTTGAGCAGGATGTTATTTATATATGTATGTAACATATATGCATAAATAAATTATATAAAAATATTTATGTTTATTTATAAAAAATATTTTGCAAAAATAAATATGTAAATTTACTTTACAATACAAATTTTGGTAGCATTACGGTGTGTACGAAATATATACAACATTTAACGTTTAATTGAAGCTAACATCTATATTTATGTTCTTTTGAAGCTGATATTATAAAAGTAGTATTAATAAATTTTTTTAGGTATTTACATGCATTTAATTATTCGTATATATATTTCATTCTTGAAGAAATTTCATGTAATTTATTTATATAAAATTACAATTTATTTGTAACACATAGAAATGTAGAGTAAAACGTAAAAATTTTTTTTTGCCATATTTGGTATTACGTACCTTTATTTTCCCAGACAAAAATAATTCAGGTATAGATTTAAAAAGTTTAAACACAGGAACCCATACTATGTAATCTGTCTCTCGTTCTAGATATTTGGTTAGGTTCAAGAAAGTGAACAAGAAAAGTTGATCATTCATCAGAAAATCATCGATAATTTGAGCACGATTAAGCACATGTATTTTTGTATATATGTCCGATGTCCTTAAATAGTGGATAATCCGGTCCCAATATATACCATCGTAATTGACACGATAATATCCTAATACTATACATTAAACACATTTTGGTTGCTAATTACATCAAGAGACACGGTAGTGTCTCGCGCCAAGTACGCGCGAAGCGAGACGCACCGTGATTCTTTTACGCGAACGCATGAGTTGCGAGTATCCGAGATTTTGAGATCTCAATAACGAGTGAACGGATCAATTTCTAAGTAGGTTCGATTGATAGCTTGGGGTTTGATTTATAAATAAGAGTCTTTTTTTCCGTTACGTGCCCTACGAGCGAAGATATTGCGATGCAAAGTCCAAATGTGGAAAATTTTTTTTTAAGAAACGTCCACGTCGGACAAAAATGGCGGCTGGTGTGTCACTTTCCCATTTTTGACACGAGATTGCACTCGTGCACTGTCGCAGTGCGTGACAGTTTTTTACAACCTAGAAAGGGATAAGTGTAAGTGTGTGATAGTCGTGATCGTTGCCGCGTCGTGACAGATAGTGAAATATATATAAGTATTGACCGTAGAGAGCTGATGCCGAGAGATCTTTAAGAAGGAAGGTGTATCTACAAATGCCTTGTAAAAGTTGTCAAACTGTATGTTTACGCGAGCGTTACTTCTGTAGTAACTTACGATAATTCACTCGTTTACGCGGAGTAAATTATCGTAAGTTACTACAAAATGAGGCATCCAGATAAATTTGCATAGCGCATAAACATAAGCGTAAGAAATTGATTGGTTTATATGTATATGTGCAAAAGGAAATGGACCAATCTATCTCTTTATGCATATGCTTATGCACCTATGCAAGTTTGTCTGGGTTGACCTTAAAAAAGCAGCGCCAAGTTTTTTACAAGAAAAATTTTTTTATTTTATTTTAATTAAATATTTTTATTTTATAATGTTACCTCTTTAATTCTTGGTGATTAAAATAATTCTTTGTAATATTATAATTTTATCAAGGAGAATTAAAACTACTACCACTTAGGTTGATAGAAAGACTCTCAGGAATACAAAGATACGTACCACTTGGGCTGAGTTAGGTAACACAATTTTGTTTTATTTTTTAAAAGTAGTTGCACAACAATTATTTTTCAAAGTATGTATATTCTCTTTGCAATTGGCGCAATTTAAAGATTTCACATCTTTTTTTGATGCTCGCGTTCCGGATGTAGAATATGTCAGAAACAGAACTTAGAATTAATGACTAGATTTTGCCACAGCTTAGTTCTTTTTTGATGTTATCTCTACTTATGAACATAATTTCTGTTACTAGTAAATAACTGAAATACGTATGTAAAATGATTCACATTGACGCACAATTTTTTATCAATTCTATTAAATTACATATAGAGGACCATGGAAAAACATAAAAATAATTTTTTGACAATATTTTAATTTTACTGTATTGCCGATATAGGAAATTAATTACATTAAGAATATCTTCTTCATTAAATCTCTTATTAGATAATTTCTATTAGCCGGGGAGCATTGGAAGAATCATAGCGTTTCCCGGGGCTCCCCCAGTCAAGGCACCGTGAGGACCATCGTGGAGTTTTAGCCGGTAAAAATCCGGCACTCCCTTCGCCTTTCACGGAGGCGATGGGGTCTTCCCCCTCCCACAAGAGGGGGCTATCGGTCGAATGGCCGATAGTAGAAGATTTCTCCACGTAAAAAAAAAAGATAATTTTCATTACTTATTGTTAGTGTTATTTTAAATATTACTCGATAGAATGTGGTGTTTTACAAAATATTTTGTAAATTTACCAAT